CGGCGGGCAGCACTATGACTACTACGGCTGGCAGCCCGAGAGCCTGCCCCACGGGCGATTCTACGGGCGGGAGCCCCAATGCCTCGACATCCCTGCCGACATGCAGCTCTGCCGCGACGTGGGCTACAAGCGCATGCGGCTGCCCAACCTGCTGGAGCATGAGACTATGGCTGAGGCCAAGCAGCAGGCTGGCAGCTGGGTGCCCCTGCTCGCCAAGCAGTGCCACACCGACACACAGCTCTTCCTCTGCTCCCTCTTCGCCCCTGTCTGCCTCGACCGGCCCGTCTACCCCTGCCGCTCCCTCTGCGAAGTGGTGCGTGACTCCTGTGCCCCTGTCATGGAGTCCTACGGCTTTCCCTGGCCTGAGATGCTGCACTGTGCCAAGTTCCCCTCTGACCATGAACTCTGCATTGCCGTCCAGTTTGGGAACAGCAAGGCTACCCCACCGCCAGGTAAGTGGGAAGGGCACCAGATGGGACGGGGACGCATGTGGGGCACCTGCCATCAGCATGTCCCCATACAGCCAGGGACCAGCATGCAGGGTCTTCCTGTGGAGGTCCTGCACCCCCATCCCTGCTCCCCTTGGAGTAGAGCCCAGGGCACTGGCACTGACCAAGGACCCTCTGTCTGCAGCAGGGCACAAATTGGCACAGTACCAGCAGCATCAGCTGCTTTGGTTGGGCACTGCTCACTGCCCAGGGGAGCTGGGCACCCAGCTGCCTGCACAGAGCTGCCCCAGGGCAGGGGAGAGCAGAGCAGCCATGGGAGCCGCACTGAGGGTGAGCATGGGATGAGGTGGGAGCCACTGGGCAACCCGCCACAGAGCTGTGTCCCTCTCCTCCCACTAGGTCCCATCCCAGCAGCAAAGAGCATCCTGCACCTGCAGGTCTCAGCCCCATGCTGCTGTCACAGGGTGCCTGTCCTCTCAGGCGGGGGAGGGGACATCACCCAAAGGCAGCCCAGGGTCAGGATCAAGGCTGTGACACCCTTCAGGCTGAGGCCACCCTGTTGCTGTGCCTCAAAGTGTCAGCATCTGGATGGAGGGTGTCCCCATACCCTGTCCCCTCCTGGGGGTTGCTGGTCAACAAGGTGCTCTGTGCCCCCCACATCACCCCAGCACAGCTGCCCAGGGAGCAGAAGAGGTGCCGGGGCTCTTGCAGCATGTCCCTGTAGAGCTGGCCCGGGTGACAGGTACCAGCAGCAGGGAGCTGTGACAGTGGCTGGTCTCTCACCGCAGTGTCCAAGATCTGCACCCAGTGCGAGATGGAGCACAAGGCGGATGGCATGATGGAGCAGATGTGCTCCAGTGACTTCGGTGAGTGCTGGGGGGCTTCCCGGCCCCCCAAACAAGGGGCTGTCTCCCCCAGCTCTGATAGCCCAGGCTGGGGTTGGCCAGAGGGCTCAGTTGTATGGGAACAGCCCCATGGGAGACCCCCCCAAGCCATTCCCTTGGGCCCTGTGCGCCTCAGATGGGTGCACCACAGAATATATTGGTGGGGGGACAGGCAGAATGGGACATTTGGGAGAGTCACTGGGGGCGTCTGCTGAACCCCTCCCCCTGACAGCCCCTTCTCCTCCCCACACAGTAACTTCCCCAGAGACCCTTCTTCTGGGTCCCACCCCAGGGCCGGTCTGCACCCTGTCCTGCACAGTTGCCTGGCCCAGACCCCCCCAGCAGTGCCCCCCAGCAGTCCCCCCGCTCCAAACCATGCCCCACGGCTGTCCCACACAGTGGTGAAGATGCGCATCAAGGAGATGATAGAGGAGAATGGGGAGCGGCGGCTGGTGGCCGCCCAGAAGAAGAAGGTGCTGAAGCTGGGGCCCCTCAAGCGCAAGGACACCAAGAAGATGGTGCTGCACATGAGGAATGCAGGTGCCTGCCCCTGCCCCCAGCTTGACAGCCTCAGCGGCAGCTTCCTGGTGATGGGCCGCAAGGTGGGCAGCCGCCTGCTCCTCCTCGCCATCTACCCCTGGCAGAAGCACAACAAGGAGATGAAGTTTGCTGTCAAGTTCATGTTCTCCTACCCCTGCCCCCTCTACCACCCCCTGCTTTATGGGGCTGGGCAGCACTAGGGCTCTGCCCACCCTGCTCAGTTCTGCACTGGCCTGATGCTATACCCCTGGCACCCCAGCTGCACCCCTGGCATCCCTGGTTGCACCCCAGGACACTGGCTCTGCTGCCCTTAACCCCTTGGCTGTGCCCCAGGACACTGCTCTGCACCCCCAGAATTCCCAGCTGCATTTGTGGGAGTCTTGATCCACAGTTAGGATGCCTTCCCCCTCCTGAAAGGCCTGCTCTGCATCCCTGGGACCCCTGTTCTGCTCCCAGGAGCTTAGGCTGCACCCAAGACCCTTTCTCTGCATGTTTATGAGCCCTGGTCTGCACTAGAGACCCTTGGCTACTCCCAAGCCCCCTGCCTGGCACCCCAGGGACTCTTGCCTGCCCTAAGGATCTCTGCTTGGTCCTCTTAGGACCCCTGGATGCACCTGAGACCTCTACCCTGAACCCCTGTGTCCCCTGCCCAGCTCCCTCATGACATGCCCTAGACCCTCAACACTCCAGATCCCCACTCCAGCCCACCAGAGCATCTCATGCCCTCACCTTGAGTTCACACCCCAGCCCTGAATTATCCCACCTTCACAAGGTCTCACCCCAGACGAGGCAGGTCCCTCCTGCCCCACTGTCCTCACAGACTGGCCCCTCAAGACCAAGTGCCCAGACCAGCACAGCCCCTGCCTAGGCTTCCCCACCCTTCCCATCCCACATGGCTCAGTGTGGTGGGGTCTGCCTCCAAGCCCCCCAGACCAGTCCTGCTGCATCCCTCATGCACGCCCCTGCTAAGACCCAGACTAGGCACCCATCGTCCATCCACACCACAGTAAATTATTCTGCCTTAGAGAAGCCTGTGTCCAGCTCCCAGTGGTTCATGGGCAACTGCCCCCTGGGGCTCTCTCAGGGACCCCAGGAAGGATGGGAGGGGACTCTCAGTCCTGCTCACTGAGTGGGGCAGCCTGGGGAAGTGGGGTCTTCCTGGGCTCCAGCTCAAGCCCTGATCCAGGTACCACCATGCCCATAGCCCGAGGCTGGGCAGTCCAGTGAAAGGAAGGGATGAGGTTTTCAGTGGTCACAGGCAGTGCTGGAGACTCAGGCATCCCTACCACTTCAGGAAGCCTGGGATGGTGGTGGGATGAGGAGAATGGGGGTGGCAGGGGCTTCACTGCTGCTGGAGCCCCACAACTGGGTCTGAGTGCTTTTGCCAGAGAGGATTCTCCCTCTGTCATCCCTGGGGGATAGATCCATGGGCTGGAAGTTGGAGGCACACGTGAGGAGCCTGGCACTGAGCACAGTAGTGGGCAGATCCTGGACCAGGGAGCCTCTATCTCCCCGCACCCCACCTCCGCACCACCTGAAAACCCTGTCTGCAGCTCCCTGCCATCCCTGCTCAGCTGCCAGACCTCCCACCCCACAGCCTACAGCCTCCTCCCAAAAGGTTCCCCAGGGCTACCCACCTGCACCAGCTGGGACCCCCCAGCAGCACCGGGACCGGGGCAGCCCTCAGCCTGGCCCTTCAGCTTGGCTCCCCCAGCCCCAGAGCAGGGGCTGCCTCTGCTCTAGCAGCCCCCCAGTCCCAGGAGGCAAGAGGGGCAGCCTTCCCACCCCAGTCCCCCTCCAGTCCTGTTTACCTAGCACATTCTTGCGCCCACCCATCCCGAGGGGTGAGGGAGGCACGAAGGCAGCTGCCAGGATATTTACCCAGCACCTGGCTGCCTGACACTGCAGCTTCTCACTGAAGCTGGCCCCACCGCAGGGGAGCCTCCCAGGACAAGAGGGGAATTGAGGCTGTGGGATGCCTGTGCCCACCCTCCTCCTGGCTGACAAGGCCACTGGGCACCTGCCCTATGCCAAGATGGTCCTCCCTCCCTCTGCCTCCCCTTGGGCATGGCCTCAGCACCCCCCCACACCACCACCCCCCTCTGAGCCCCAAAGGGCTTTCATCCTGCCCCAGCCAAGGGGATGTGCCCCTGCCCCACAACCAGCCAGGGACACACAGCAGCCAGCCCCCGCCACAGCCTCACAGCAGGGCCAGGCAGTTACTGACCCCACCCTGGCCAATGTGGAAAAAAACTGCGGAATAAACTCAAATATTGTTAGAAGGTTATCCTCAGAGCAAGGCTGCTGAGCACACTGCCATAGGAATAAACATCGTCAATTACGTCATTTAACTGCAAGACTTAAAGTGTGCAAATAAAACCCCATCTCCCACAGCCCAAGTTTATCTGTAGCCCTCTGTATTTTGCGTCATTAACATCTTTCCAGGGAGCATTTAGACATACATGGTCATGGTGCTCATCGCTCCAAGTGTTTTCTCTAGAAAGACAAGTAACTTCTCTCTACCTCCCACCATCAGTCATCTGAGCTCCACAGTTCAACTCCCCCAGTCCCTTGCAGACCAGTACTCATCCCATTGCAGATACACCCCCACCCACAAACACGATCCCACAGCTCTTGGGGTGGTACACAGCCCCCTCCCCAGTGTTACAGCTGCTCCACTGCCCCCAGTATCTGCTGAGCTCTCCGCATGCGAGCCCTCCCCTACACCCCCTGGCCTTGGAGCACACCCAGCACAACTCAGACACCCTCATCACTGCCAAGTCCAGCTTTTCCACAGATTTCCATAGGGCACATTTTGAGCCCACAAGTGAGAAGAGGGCTCAGGCTTCCCCCAGAGCTGACCCATGCAAGCTCCCACACTGGTGGGGTGTATAATCAGCAGTGAGATCTGAGCCCCCAGCACCTTCTCAGGCTGATGGCTGTCACAGCCTGGCAGGCACTGGGCAATGCCAGCCCAAGAGCACCGGCCCCCCCAACCCCTTGGCCAGGGGAGGCTGCAGCTGGCTGGCAGGGACCCAGGCATGGCCATTCCCAGCTGCACAGCAGCCAGGGTCACATTCCTGGGATAGCTGGGAGATTTGCTGTTCATTCAGGGAAAGGTCACCCTTGTGCACACAGGCAGCTGCCGGGACCACCGCCTGGGTAGGGCAGGGGAAGGAGCAGCCCCAGGAGGTGGAGAGGAAGCCCAGCAGCTCCAGCCAGAGCTGAGCTTCTCCCTTGCTCCAGCCCAGCAGGATCTGGCCATGGCACAGCCAAGGAAGAACAGCTGCACTCAGCCCTGAGCTGGGGGCAAACAAGGCCACAGCATGACAGAAGATTGAAACGCCCGTAAGCAAGGGGAGCTGGTGGCACAGACACACCATTTCTCTGTGACCACCTGCAGAACTGCAGGGCCAAGGCCGCAGATGGGCCCAGGTGACCTGGGACCAGGACAGCTTCCACTGGGGCAAGACAAGAGTCAGATGAGGGCAAGAGATTTATTGGTCATTCTCTATATACACTTATATATTAATCTGTAGTAGAAAGCAGCAGTCACTAAGTGCACAGAGCAGCTTCTCCTCAGGCTGCAGCTGGAGACCCAGCCACACAACCCAGCTCAAACTTACCCTCTTGCCTCCTCTGCATTACAGCCAAATATTGGGGGGGGTGGGTG